TCAGTTTCCCATTGAACTGAACCCTGGTTTCAGACTCCATCTCAACATATTACAGCAGGCATCTTTCAGCCAGTTTTCCTTCTCCCATCAAGTGGAAAATGAGACCAGGTTATGTATACATAAAATGTAAGCCAATGTTTTTCAAACTGTATAGATTTCTTTATTGTAGGATTAGTCTTCAATACTTGGATGTCTAATATGCTCTTCTAAAAGAGACTGAAATACAGAGCACTTTCCCACCTCACTGGATCACAGAAACCCTTTTTAATTGAATATTCATGAGTTCCTTGTAACACAGTTTGGAAAATACAGTACTGTACCACTGATAGATTTTCTACTTGATGGTTATGGGTGATCCAGATGGTCAGTCAACATTTTTTAAATCATTGGTTTGCTAAATAATGATATGGATTTGAATCATATGCTGTAACCCAGTGCCTAAGAGCCAGTCAGAAAACAAGTTAGACTAGTGTATCACACTGTATTCACATTTCAAAGAGGATTATCTTTTGCCAACTATCTTTGCTGAGCATTCATTTGGAACCAAAAATGTACTAAGCATCTACATCTCATTTAAGAAGAGTGATGATATATCTCAGCTTATGCTGAAGGTAGTCCAAGTTTATGCCTGCTTTTTAAAAAATCATAATCATTAGCAATACTTCATTTTACCATTAGAAGTGTCTTCTTTGGATGATAAATTTTTATTTTTTTACTTTTAATTCTCAAACCACCTGTGCTGATGTTGGTATTGATAACCCTACTTTACTAATGATTAAATAAGGCCCAGGGAAACTGAAAAGACTGGTTACGTTTAGATAGCTGGGATGTAGCTTAGGCTATATTCAAACTAGATCAGCCCTAAAGCTCACACTTCTGAATGCATGTAAGTACATGAAGTCATTTAATACCTGTGAAATTATGTAAGAATCTGCATTTTGAAGATGAGAATATTGAGGAAATCATATGCTGTAATTTATAAATTTGAGGCCTATTTATTTATTGGCCCCACTGCACAGCTTGTGAGAGCTCCAGCATCTCCCTGACGAGGGATTGAACCCATGCCCTGAGCAGCAGAAGTGGGGAGTCCTAACCACTAGACCACCAGAGACGTTCCAAGTCTATTGTATTTAGAATCTTGCTTGTGCTGTCTTTTGTGTGGCAGCCCTTGCCTTAAATGTCAGCCACAAAATAAGGCAGGCCAACAAGTATGGTTGGCAGGTACAGTTACGGAAAGACAGCAAGTGGGGTCTCATACCAGCCCTGTGTTAATTGGCTGAGAGCTACTAGATCAGGTTCAGGAGCAGACTACTTCCCGAAATATTTACCAATTTGGAAAAGCAATATGCTTTTCTAAGCATGAAAATTCAGGGAAGTCCAAGTTATTAAAATCAGACCTCCTGAGCATTATAAGAAGGAACTCAGGTGAGCAAATACTTAAGAGCATGAATAGGATATAATCGTGACTCAAGTTACAAGGTCATTTTCATTAGAACAATACTGAGAACAGTTTTTTTCCTAAAAACTGGAGTCTCCCCTGGTAGAATAATCTGTTTGATTTATGAAAATGTATTAGAGTCATCCATTTTTTTTGAGTTTTTAATGGTCCATTTAAGTTATGCCATATGTACTTCAAAATAAAAACACTGATTTATACTATCATGGGGGTTCCACTTCCAGAAAATTCCATATAAAATTAACTGTTTTTACTTTTAACAACATTCTTTTAAGTGTTGATCCCATTTTACTTTATAGTGTAGATTAGAGTTTCCCAATCTCGCACTGTTGATATTCTGGATGGGATAATTCTTTGTCTTGTGGATTATAGCATACTTATTAGCGACCCTTGTCTCAAAACCCTACATGCCAAGAGCACCTTCTCCACAGTTACGGCAATGAAAATGTCTCCAGATATTGCCAAATGCCCCAGGTGAGAAGCCCTTGTCTGGATGATGCTTTTTTAAACCAGAAAACTAAGTAGAAAAGAAGTGAATATTAAATGTAAAATTCTTATGATAACATTTAATTCCAATCCAGATTTCTCTAGAAGTTGGAGTCAAATAAATTTAAAAACTTGAGGGAGGGGCTAGTTCTTGTGTACATTAAGAGCAATGACTTAGGAATGAATCCAAACTGAGGAAGGGATGATGGGAAAAGTAGGGAGTGTTAGTTACTGGTTGCTCAGGCTTCCAGAATTGGCACAAAATCATCAGATTTCCCATGCAGGTCTTCCCTTCCTGGCAGTGAATAGGGCTCTTAAACAAATGCCTGAAATCACCAAGGAAAGTTTATAACTTCCTAGTCTATTAGTCTGCAGATGGTGATTGCAGCCATGAAATTAAAAGACACTTACTTCTTGGAAGGAAAGTTATGACCAACCTAGATAGCATATTAAAAAGCAGAGAAAAAAAATAAAAAAATAAAAAGCAGAGACATTACTTTGCCAACAAAGGTCCATCTGGTCAAGGCTATGGTTTTTCCAGTGGTCATGTATGGATGTAAGAGTTGGACTGTGAAGAAAGCTGAACACTGAAGAATTGATGTTTTTGAACTGTGGTGTTGGAGAAGACTCTTGAGAGTCCCTTGGACTGCAAGGAGATCCAACCAGTCCATCCTAAAGGAGATCAGTCCTGGGTGTTCATTGGAAGGACTGATGCTGAAGCTGGAACTCCAATACTTTGGCTACCTCATGCGAAGTGTTGACTCATTGGAAAAGACCCTGATGCTGGGAGGGATTGGGGGCAGGAGGAGAAGGGGACGACAGAGGATGAGATGGCTGGATGGCATCACTGACTCGATGGATATGAGTTTGAGTAAACTCTGGGAGTTGGTGATGGACAGGGAGGCCTGGTGTGCTGTGATTCATGGGGTCACAAAGAGTCGGACACAACTGAGCGACTGAACTGAACTGAACTGAACTGAACTGAGTTTACTAGTCTAGATATCTGATCTCTTCCACCACGAAAAAAAGCTTCTGTAATGTGACTCAGATTTGATGGAGAGCATTCTGTACGTTAGGGATAAAGCCCAGAAATTAAAAATGTAGCCCCTGGAACTTCCCTGGTGATCCAGTGGTTAAGAGCAGGGGATGTGGGTTGGATCCCTGGGTTAGGAACTAAGATCCCATATGCTTCAGGGCTACTAAGACTGCATGTCACAACTAGGGAAGCCCACGTGCCAATGAAGGGCCTGTGGATTCAGTTGGGATCTTTCCTAAATCTGGATTAGCCTTCGTCTGCTTTGGCATTGCTCCACTTTTCACCTCTCCCTTCCATGCCACAGGCACGATGTGAACTCCTTTCTGAGCCCCTGGTTCTAAACTCTCTTCTGTGCTCAGTTGTGTCCAACTCTGTGTGACCCCTTGGATTGCAGCCCACCTGGCTCCTCTGTCTACGGAATTTTCCAGGCAGGAATACTGGAGTTGTTGTCACTTTCTCCTCCAGGGGATCTTCCCAACCGAGGGATCAAACCCGAGTCTCTTGTGTCTCCTGCACTGGTAGGTGGATTCTTTACCACGAATGCCACTTGGGGAGCCCCAGGAGGTCAAGCAGGGAAGGAGCCATGGCTTAGGAGGCGTAGTGGGGACCTCAGTATTTTTAGGTTTTTTTTTTCTCCCTTTCTTTCTGATGACAAAGTCAAAAAATTTCAAGGGCTAGAACTCTAGAGAAGAGATGATTGAAGGTCTTTTTCCTATCGTTTCATTCTAAATTAGCCCAGTTCAGAAGGTAGACTTACACATCCTGACTTTAGATTTCTTTCTATGTTCAAAGACTGAATAACATTCATGCTTTAACTCCCACTTCCACCCTTAATAGAGTCTCAGGTAAGAAATGATCTAGTCCCTTTGTAATTAGAAGAGTTGACATTTTACCTGTTACTGGATTTTACATTTTTATTAAGAATAAAGTCGACAGTAGAACTGTACACAGTAGTCACAGGCCTGTGGAAATTCTCACTTTAGAGATACAGAGCATGTTAGCACTCAGTTGTGTCCAACTCTTTGCGACCCCATGGACTGTAGCCCACGAGTCTCCTCTGTTCATGGAATTTCCCAGGCAAGAATACTGGAGCGGGTTGGGGATCTCTCCAATCCAGGGATTGAGCTTGTGTCTCCAGCACTGCAGGAGGATTTTTTACCTGCTGAGCTATCGGGGAAGCCCAATAGAGATAACAGACACACTTGAATTTTACAGATTGAGAAATTACAGAAAAGCAGTCAATTTTCCTATTGCTTTTCCTGACTCTTTGGGTGGGACAATCCACAGAAACGAAAATGAAAGTTGCTCAGTTGTGTCTGACTCACTGTGAACCCATGAACTGTAGCCTGCCAAGCTCCTCTGTCCACGGAATTCTCCAGGCCAGAATACTGGAGTGGATAGCCATTCCCTTCTCCAGGGGATCTTCCCAACCTACGGATCGAACCCAGGTCTCCTGCATTGCAGGTGGATTCTTTACCATCTGAGGCACCAAATGGGAGCATTCCATTTCTTGAAAACTTCAATGTGAAACTATGAACTGAATTTCCAACTGTCATAATCAAAAATCACCTCCTATTAGGGACTGATCAAACAACTATATTATTTTTTAAAACCTGAGTTTGAGAGTGTTAATGGTCATGAGAAACTTATGGGCAGTGTTTTGCAGAATCACTTATTATTTTTTTATCCTAAATTGTTTATTGAATTCCATTTTTTCTTATAAATCACATTAGGAATGGTGGTTACATGTATTTAAAATTTCCATTACTGTATGTATTAAGTATATATAGTATGCATGTATTTTTAAAAATTAATTAATTTATTTTAATTGGAGGCTAATTACAATACTGGATATTCCTATCACTCACTGTTGAGAAGCCAGTAAAAAATAATTTGTGTGTTTATTTTATGAGCCCTACACAGTGAAGTTATTAAAAAATACTTGGTGGAATTCTCTCTGTAAACTAGTAAGCAGAAGACTTCAGAGGTTAATTTCATACATTTGTTTTGAAAAGTCAGACACAGCTTTAAACATTCATTTTATTTGTAGCAACTGTGGGCAGAAATCATAGAATGGTAAAACTGCATTCTATTTTAAGCTCATAAATTGCTTCTAAGAAATTGGTTGATGAAATTGTAGGCCTGTTAATAGAGAATGTAGGTTGTCAAAATGTATGTTAATTTGAGATATAGAAAGTTAAAAAAATAATATTCTCAAGGTTATATGCAAACAGGTTCTGAAAAATGGAAGGTTGCTGTAAGCACGATCTGATAATAACAATTAGAGTTTTGAACGTGAGAAATTCAGAAAATAGATATCTACTGGAAAAACCAATATGTATAAAACATATTTGTATTTTTCTATGTTTATTCTCAGTGTAGGAGGAGTAAACTATAAGGTTAACCCTTAAATAGGCCCAATAACTTTGCTACAGAGCATTTAACTTCTCTGCTCTTGTTTTTAATTTTAAAAATTGGAAATACCTGCTTCACAGGCAAAGTGCTTGGTAAAATGCAAGAATTTTCAAAGAATGCAACTGCTCTATAGCATTCAAACTTAATCTTGATATGCTCATTTGAAGCAGGTACAATGCCAATAAATTGTGGCAGTAACATTCTGAAATTCAAAACTTGCTTCTGCTTTCATAGCAAAGATTTGTCCTAAGACAGTAGGCAATCCAAATGCAAGCTTGCTTCACCCAGAAAGTGCCTGCAGATTCTTGAGTTTCATTATAATAACCTGAAAATAAGATCATTGGAAATGTATTAGTGAATAATCATCAACTGAAATTGATTAGCTAGTATAAAATCACCCCTACATATAAATCTTTCTAAGGAACAATCACCTTTAGCTTGAAAAATACACATGTTTATCCTTTCAGGAGAAGACAGTGAAATATTTAAGGTATTCCATTTGTTAGACAAATGATCTTTCAAGTTTCTAATAAGCCTGCTTTAGGTTTTCTAAAAAATATGGTTGACATATAGCTGATATTTTACCATCTTTAGTGATCTTTCCTGTAACAGAAACCAAAATCTTTTTCCACCTGGGGTCGAACAGGAAGCTAAGGAAAAAATACACAGAGTTAGCATTTCTCCATTTTAAGGGTGAACAAAGAAACATGACAAAGTCATAGTTGCCTTTCGCAGTCAGCTGAGAACATCTTTGCAGAGGCAACTGGCAAGAGAGTCCTCCATCTTAAAAGGAAAGAATCACTGTCAAGTTCAACCACGTCAATGTCCTTGAGTTTAAGTTTTAGTTCCTTTTTGAGGGAGAATAAGTGTTGGGGATTTATATTATTTTCCTCTTACCCAAAAGCTTGCTCTTAAAATAGTCCTTCAGATCTTGTAGAAGGAACTTTGCTTGACAAAGATATTTTCATAAACTCCTGAGCTAGATGGTACCTCACAATTCTGCGACAGTCGAATTGGTCTGTACATGTTTTTAAAATTACTGCTCATGAGTCTATGTGCTACAGACCCATTCAGTCTATAGCTCACCGGTGGGCCACAGGATGATCCAGAAACGTAAATACTTCAAGCAGTTCTTAAGAGTGAATGACTTTTGTGTTTATGTATTTAACATAACATAACTCTTGTGTTATGATGTATTGAAGGATGGGATCACTTAAAGGGTTATCGAAATTTGGTAAACAAAAACTAGTTTGTTATGGGCCCTAACTCAGGATTTTAGCAAGAAATCCAGCTGCCACATGTTCTTGGGTAATAGTGCAAATTTCCTACATCACATGTGTAGATAGTTGGAATAGTACAATTTTTTATGAAGAAAAGTGTGTGGTCAGGACATCAAGGATATTGTCTTGAATTAGTCTTGGCTTTTCCATTTGCACCCTCTTTCTTTAGGGTTATTTTTAGCTTTTCATTAGCAACTTACTTGCAGTTAACACTACAAAGTGAAGCAACACATATTTATATGAACAATATTTTCACATATTTTTTCCTAAAACTAGATTTCAAGGATTATATAAACTGTGGGTCAAATAGACTCATCATATTCCTTTTGCTAAAGATGGAATTCCTCTACAATTTATTTGGTCTGTACATGTTTGTGCACACGTTAGCTTCAGTGCCTTTCTCCTTTGAGTTCTTTTTTCGCTTTTTTCCAAATAGCTATGTTTTTAAAATTACTGCTCGTGTATTTTGCACACAAATGTGTATGTAACCTATTTAGTTCGTATCTGTTGGAATGTGTCAAAGCATAGTCAGGGTAGAAGGCTTTCACGTTCTTTCTCAACAAATAAGTTGTTTGTATTTTATAAAAATGAAGATAAATACAACCCACCTTACTGCCAAAGGGTATGCTATATAACATACTTTCACTGTGGGCACTTTCGTTACCTAGAAATACAAACTCTGTTACTAACTCTTTACTCATTCACAAATTTAATAATTCCTTTATTCAGCATTTAAAAAATATATATGCAAAGAGTAGGATATGGGTAAAGATAAAAAACACTAAAGAGGTAACGTGTATATTGAAAAGGCATCCTTGGCAATTATGTATTAATTTGTATTAATATTTAATGTATTAATTTCTCATACCCACATGCGGAGGAGATGATGAGCCCAGAAACCATCCAACACCATGAATAACAACCTCCACTTGATTTTACCTTCTTCTCTTCCCCATTTACCAGGATCAGGTAATTGCAAAGCACATTTTTTAACAAGTTTGCTCCTACCACTGCACTGTGGCCCATGCCACTTCCTGCTTCTATCACAAGTTTCTGACTTTCCATCAAGCCACACACTTTGTTCTATTGCTTCTGCAGTTCCCACAGTCTGCCTTGCTTCAGGCTGGGGGCAGAGCTCACAGCTCTTTAGACAACTCCCAGCTGGCCTGCAGCTCCTCTCTGCCCTCCCCACTTTCTGCACACATTTCTCTCTCATCACACTAAAGTGAACCCTTCCAACTATTAAGTTTTATTCTAAGTTCATTTGCTCTATCAATGTTTCCCACTTACCAAGTTAATGCCATTTACATCAATCATCATTAGTTATTATAGCAATTCCCCATGATAGAATTCTTATCTATATTCTACGTATGAGGGAACGGAGGCGCAAAGAGTTTAAGTGACTTGCCAAAGGTCACAGCTAGTTAAGTTTGAACAGCCAAGTCAGAGTTCAAAGTGCATGCTCCTTTTACCATATCACAATGCCTCTAGCATTGTGATTCTAGAATCACCTCACATTTATTTTGGATATCAAATTCTTTAACATATAAAATCTCTGTGAGTTTTTACACTGACCAGCCTAATCACATTAGGTTTACATTGATATAAAAGTTGGCTTATTCTGGGCTTTGTTTTAGTCCTAAATTCTTCAATAAACACCACTTACCATTTGGATGGTGCACAATGGTGAGCTTATCTACAAGACAAAAAAGAAAAGCACATTCTACTGAGTTTTGCTCCATATTTATCTTAGGGTCCTTTATTCTTATCGTTTGACTACTTCTTGTCTTCAGATGACTGAAGTTTCACAGTCTGATTTAAAAAAATACCCCTCCGGCCACTAAGTGTGTGACTATGTCTTTTATTACTTTTATCACTAAGTGTGAAAGAAACTATGTCTTTTTTTCCTTCCTATGTTTGTCCCACATTATCACGATTTTAGATATATTTGACGTTTAATAATAGCTTCCTACTCAGCCTTGATATTCTTTTAGCCTGAGCTATTCAAGTATTTAAAAAAAAATAACCTCATTCAGAAATAATTACATACAGTACAATTCATACACCTTGTATGACATTCTTTAGCATTTCTTACATTGCAATTTTCCTGTCTATGAATTCTCTGATTTCAATTATCTGAAAATGTCTCAGTTTCAACAAATTTTTGAAGGTTATTTTTCCTGGATATACAATTCTAAGTGGTCATTTGTTTTTATTTTAGCACTTTCAAAGATATTATTGCAAAGATATTATTGTCTTTAGTCTTCCATGTTTCTGACAAGAAATTAGTGAATATGGAATACATTTATGCTTTTCTTTTGATATATGTCTTTTTCTCTGGATGCTATCAAGAGTTTACCTTGACTGAAGTAGCTTGACCACAAGTGCTCAAATATAGTCCAGCTTAACAGGCTAACTGGAGTTTTTTTTAATGTTCTTGGGACAGTATGGAGGTAGTTTACATTGAATTTGGAAAATATCTGACCATTATTTATTTTAAAATGTTTTGCCCCAAATCACTAGTTTTTCCTCTGGGACTCTGACTACGTGCATGCTAGACTGTGTTATGTCCTACATGTCTCGAGGCTCCATTCATTTTTAAGTTTTTTTATCTCCTTTTTCATCATATTGGATAACTTCTATTAATCTGTCCTTAAGTTGATTAACTCTTACTTTTGCCATATCCAATCTGCTGATAAGTTCTTCTGATAAATTTTTCATTTCTTTTATTGTAATTTTAATTTCTATAAATTTCCATCTGGTTCTTCTATATAGTTTCAATTATCCTGTTGAAATTTCATATTTATTCACTCTTTAAAACCATATTTTTCATTAATTTTGTTAAGGTCAACAAAAGGACTATCTCATGTTCAGTTTTTACTGATGCTTTCTTTTTTCTTTTCTGTGAATTTCATTTTCTTTTTATTTGTACTTCATTAAAAAAAAAAGCCTGAATACTGGATTTTAAAGATAATCTGTAGCATATTCTGGATTCTGTATTCATACTCATATTCTATATTCCTTTGATGAATATACGTTCTTGTCTTACCAGGCAGTTTGATTACTGTCACGAACCTGTGGTAGGCTTGGTTTTCTGCTTTTTTTCAGTGTTGACCTATACAAAGCTTAAGATATTTGCTAAGACTCTCAGTAGAACTTCCCTGATGACTCAGCAGTAAAAAAAAAAATCTGCCTACAATGCAGGAGATGTGGGTTCGATTCCTGGGTTGGGAAGAGCCCCTAGAGAAGGAAATGGCAACTCACTCCAGTATTCTTGCCTAGGAAATGGGGGTGGCAAAAGAGTCAGACACGACTTAGCCACTAAACAACAACAGTAAGACTAAGCCTACAAATTCCATTTTCCACCGGACTCTGGTAGGGGTTTGGTTTCAGGCTTTGCTGGGGCAAGTCTAGAGTAGGTCTTACTCTAAGTCATGGTCCTTACTCTTTACATCTCTTGGGTGTCACAGCAGGATGCCAGGCATTTTAACAAAGTGTTAGGAGACCTTTCCTCTCTGGCAGGGCAGGACTCAAACAAACATTCCCAGTTTGGCCAATCTTCAGCGTGTCTGTTCTGCCTTCACAGCCCTAAAAGCTGCTATCTTACATGCTTCCAGGGGTCTTGCCTGCACACGTTCAGTACAGCTCATCTCTGAGCCAGACTGGTGGAGTCCCCCCTCCTTCCGAGGCTACCTCTCTTCCCGGCCACCTCCCCTTCGGTGACCCACCACGCACATTCCAGCAGCTCTGGCTGCCCTGAACTCTGATCTTTGCCACCTCAGTGTGACTGCTTTGCACAGACCGTGGTCAGAAAATTATGTTGTGGGTGATGGTGAGAGACATCTCATATACTTTGTTTTTCTCTAGGATTACAGTCTTAGTCTGCCTATCATTTACTCTCTGAAATCAGTTGCTTCATATTGTTTTTGCCTATTATTTGTATCCTTACAGTGGGAGGGTTTGTCTGGTACTGCTTATTCCATTTTAGCTGAAAGAAGAACTAGTTGATTCCTAACTAAGACACCAACGATTAAGAGTGTTAACTTTGGATTCCAATAGACGTGGGCTATAATCTCTAATCTGTGTGTTTAGAGGCTTCTTAGTTTCTCAGATTCTCAGTTTCCTTATTATAAATGGGGACTAATGCCTATCTCAAAGGGTTATTAATGGGATAATTTTGTGCATAGTAGATAAGACAATAAATATTAGCTACTACTACTACTTAATGTTCCTTAGTGAAATTATTTATTTATTTTATAATTGTATATATTAAAAAAATTTTACTCTTATTCCACATTAGAATGTAGGTTTGTAGAACTCAGTTATTTGTAAATTAGTTTTGTGTTTAGAACCTTAATTATTTTAGAAAGTACATTTATGTTTTAGAAAACATTTCTAAGAGAGCTTAAAGAATTCTCTATGAAGAAGTAGATAACAATCCAATAATATAAAAAGAAAATGAATTTTAACATAGTGAGTTTCACCATGAAGTACCATCTAAAAGTTATGCAGTATTATTGAAAACAGAAGAGATGCAGGCTTTCAAACTTCACTAGTGGTTGTCAGTTTTTAATTATCTATGCAGGAGTAGGGACTTGGGAATAGGGTGGTCAGAGAATGACAACATAATTTATTTTCAATTTTGGAATGTGTTGTTTATCTCTGGAGAAGATTTACCATCTTAATAATGTTTGGTTTGTGTTAACATTAAAATGACTGTTTTTTCCCCCGGGAGCAACTGCTAATTATTAGCAAGAGGAATCTGTGTTGAGAAGAAGCATGTTAGCTTCAGGGGAAGGCAAGATGAGATTTATAATTTAAAATGATCCACATACGGACAACTGTGAGAATTGACTATATTGAGAATATTCTACCTTATTAAAAAAAAGTGTGACTCTTTAGCAATTTAATACCCTGTCCTGAGACTTATACACACACACACAAAACTAAAGCAGAATTATCTTATTTGCAACTTATATGGAAATCAAAGGAAAGGAAGTAACTAGCATTTACATCATGGGCCAGAGAAGGTGAAAAGTATTTTATGTGTTAACTTGTACAACCACTTCCAGGTATATGTACAATTATTCTTGTTTTGCAGATAAGGACCCTGAGTACCAAGGAGTAAGACATTCTCCAATTTAAGCAGCTAGGAAGTGACTGGATATAAATTTGAACTCAGGCCTGTTTTACTTCACCATCCTTGCTTTTTCCACTTCATCACTCTATTATTTTTGAAGAGCAGGCAAATTTTACTTACTGTAGACATTTTCTTCTTCTGGCCTTTTCCCAACAATGCAATCTCGTAGTTGGCGTAGTTTTTCCTTAATGAGGAGACAACCAGGAAAGAGAAGTCAAGGTTCATGAGTTTATTATGAATTGAGATGGAAACTCTTAACTATGTGACCAGGAAAACCACTACAACTTAGTGCTAATGTGGTATTTACAGTGTTCCAGCCACCATTCTTGCTACTTCGCACGTATTGTTTTACTTAATCCTCGCAACTTCACGACGTGGATAAAAAACATCCATCGATATGGAAACTGAGTTACAGAAGATTAAGTAACTTTCCTAAATCACACAGAAGTTGTACAGTCAGGGTGGGAACCCAGAGCCCAATTCTTTTGGGAGCTTCTTTCTCAAACATCTGAGGCATCCACATTGGCTATCGGTGCCTCAAAGCTGGAGGCCAACATAACAATGGTTTGCTTCTGCCTGAATCCATCTCTAGCCTCTGTAGGGTACATGCTTTCTTGCAGTTCCTTCTAAGAACCAGGGACACAAGAGCAAATGATACATAACTGGATTTCCACTTTTAACTCATTTGTGATCTTTCTTTGCTTTCCAAAAGTTCTACGCTGAACATCTATTACCTTTTAACTGAAAGGTAAAACAAGCTAATGCTCAATACATCTGCTTTTATTTATTTTTTAAAAAATATGGAATGCTTCATGAATTTGCATGTCATTTTGCACAGGGGCCGTGCTAATCTTCTCTGTATTGTTCTAATTTTAGTGTATGTGCCACCAAAGGGAGCACCAATAAATATGCTTTTAAAAGAGAATTTAAGAGTAGCACTTTTCTTAGGGGCTGCCCTGCAAACCTAGAAGCCACTTTTCCTAAAATAGAGTGTGTTCACTGCCTTAAAGATCCTCTCCTATGAGTGGAGCAAACATTCTTCTTTAGGGACTTGGTGACTGTGAGCAGGAGAGAGGGGAGCTAAAGGCAAGGTTTTTTTTTCAATCATCTCACATTCAACTGCAGGGATTCTACCTGGTTCTTTATTATTCTAGAAACTCTTTTACTACTAACTCTATGTTTGTGTCATTTTCCTTCTTATTTTCCTGGGATAAAACCTCTCTGTCAATAAGAATATAATTTCACAGCCGCCTCTGATAGATTCATCTTTGGGATTAAAATGAATATTTTTTGTAAACTACAAGAGTAAGATTGAAAAGTGTATGGGCAGTGTGTATTGGGGAAACAGGAAACAGGGAGAACATTCATTTTTTGATGTTCTGATTTTGTCCACAATGGCTCAGTGGGCAAAGAATCTGCCTGCAATTCAGGAGATGAGGGTTTGATCCCTGGGTCTAGAAGATCCCCTGGAAGATGAAATGGCAACCCACCCCAGTATTCTTGCCTGGAGAATTTCACAGAGGAGCCTGGTGGGCTACAGTTCACAGGGCTACAAAGAGTCAGACACCACTGAGCGACTAGGCATATAGGACTTTTGTTCAGGCCCTCAAGTCAAGGACTGACTGAAAAACCACAGGGGAAAATCTCTCTCACGTTCGTCTTGGCAATGATATTTTGGATATGACTGTAAAAGCACAAGCAACAAAAGCAAAAATAAACAACTTGGACTGCATCAGACTAAAACACTCTCACATACCAAAAAAGCCCACCAACAAAATGAAAGTCACCCTGTGGACTGAGGGAAAATATTTGCAAATCATATATATGATAAGGAGTTAATATTTGAAATATATAAAGAACTCACACAACTTAATGACAAATGTCCCAAATAATCTGATTAAAAAATGGTCAGAAGGCCTGAACAGACATTTCTCAAAGAAGACATAAAAATGGCCAACCAATAAATGAAAAAGTTCTCAACATCACTAATCATCAGGGAAATGCAAATCAAAACCACAATAGGATCTTACCTCAGAACTGCTAGAATGCTTATCATCAAAGGATGAGAGGTAAGAGATAAGGTTATGGAAAAAAAAGAAGCCTTGTGCAGAGTTGGTGGAAATGTAATTCGGTGCAGCCATTATGGAAGTCGGTATGGAGCTTCCTCAAAACATTAAAAATAGTACCACTGTATGATTCAGCATTCCTACTTCTGGGTATTTATCCAAAGGAAATGAAATCATGATCTCAAACAAATAGCCGCATGTCCATGTTCATTGCACTGGCCAAGATATGGAAACCGCCTAAGTTTCTAGGAATGGATAAAGAACATGTGATATATGTCTATATATATATATATACACATACACATGATGGAATACTATTCACCCATGAGAAAGAAGGAAATCCTACCATTTTTGGCAACATGGGTAGACTCTGAGGGCATTATGCCAAGTGAAATTAGTCAGATAGGCAAAGACAAATACTGTGTGATCATACTTATATGTGAACTCTTAAAAAAGCCAATTCATAGAAACAGAATTAAATGGTGGTTATCGGGGCCTGAGGAGTGGAAGAAATTCAGAGATGCTGATGTTGGTCAAAGGGTACAAACTTACAGTTACAAGATGAAAAAGTTCTGGGAATTCAATGTACAGCAAGATGACTATTTAACAGTACTGTATTACATATATATTATATATAGCAACTTGAAAGTTGCTAAGAGAGTTAATATTGTATGTTCTTGTCACACAAAAATGTTAATTTTTTGACATGATGGAGGTGTTAGCTAATGCGATGGTGGTCATCATTTTGTAGTATATAAAATCAATCCACTGTACACTTTACATTTAGACAATGTTCTAGTCAATTATATCAGAAAGGCTGGGAAGGAAAGGGAAAAGAACTGAATAAATCCTTGTACTCAGTCAGAGTCAGAAACTTTGGCTCTTATGGAAAGTAGTTTTAGGGTTTGTTCTTTCATCTACAGGTTACTTTTTGGTTTTGTTTTGCATGAGTGCTTACTATATTCATCATTCCATTGTTCCTATGTATTAGATAAGCCATATCAGTCTTGAAGTAATTGAGTATTGTTTTTAGTCCCTAAGTCATGTCTAACTCTTTGCAACTCCCTGGACTGTAGCACATTAGGCTCCTCTATCCATGGGACTTCCCAGGCAAGAATACTTTCCCAGGCAAGGAGTGGGTTGCCATTTCCTTCTCCAAGGGATCCTTCTGACCCAAGGATTGAGCCCAGTTCTCTTGCATTGGCAGGAGGATTCTTTACTACTGAGTCACCTCGTAAGCCCCTTAGACCGCCTTTAATTCTTTCTAAAATGATACTGAAAATAAATATACAAAAAAGAAAGATCTTAATGACTCAGATAACTGTGACAGTGTGATCACTTACGTAGAGCCAGATATCCTGGAATGTGAAGTCAAATGGGCCTTAGAAAGCATCACTACAAACAAAGCTAGTGGAGGTGATAGAATCCTTGCTGAGCTATTTCAAATCCTAAAAGAACTGTTAAAGTGCTACATTCAATATGCCAGCAAATCTGGAAAACTCAGCAGTGGCCACAGGACTGGAAAAGGTCAGTTTTCATTCCAATCCCAAAGAAGGGCAATGCCAAAGAATATTCAAACTACTGCACAATTGCACTCATTTCACATGCTAGTAAGGGCATGCTCAAAATCCTTCAAGCTATGCTTCAACAGTACATGAACCAGGAACTTCCAGATGTACAGGCTGGATTTAGAAAGGGCAGAGGAACCAGAGATCAAATTGCCAACATCCACTGGATCATAGAAAAATTAAGAGAGTTCCAGGAAAACATCTACTTCTGCTTTACTGACTAGGCTAAAGCCTTTGACTGTGTGAATAACAAAGAACTGTGGAAAATTCTTAAAGAGATGGGAATACCAGACCACCTTACCTACCTCCTGAGAAATCTGTATGCTGGTCAAGAAGCAACAGTTAAAACCAAACATGGAACAACAGATTGATTCAAAATTGGGAAAGGAGTGCATCAAGGCAGTATACTGTCACCCTGTTTATATAACTTGTATGCAGAGACATCATGTGAAATGCTGGACTGGATGAAGCCCAAGCTGGAATCAAGATTGCCAGGAGAAATATCAGTAACCTTAGATATGCAGATGACACCACCCTTATGGCAGAAAGTGAAGAGGAACTAAAGAGCCTCTTGGTGAAGGTGAAAGAGGAGAGTGAAAAAGTTGGTTTAAGACTGAACATTCAAAAAACTAAGATCATGGCATTTGGTCCCATCACTTCATGGCATATAGATAGGGAAACAATGGAAACAGTGAAAGCTTTATTTTCTTTGGCTCCAAAATCACTGCAGATGGTGATGGCTGCCAAGAAATTAAAAAACACTTGATCCTTGAAGAAAAGCTGTGACAAACCTAGATAGTGTATTAATAAGCAGACCATTACTTTGCAGACAAAGGCCCAAATAGTCAAAGCTATGATTTTTCTAGTAGTCATGTATAGATGTGAGAGCTGGACCTTAAAAAAGCTTGAGCACCAAAGAATTGATGCTTTTGGATTGTGGTGATGGAGAAGACTCTTGAGAGTCCCTTGGACTGCAAGGAAGTCAAACCAGTCAAACCTAAAGGAAATCAACCCTGAATATTAATTGGAAGGACTGATGCTGAAGCTGAAGCGCCAATAAGTACTTTGGCCACCTGATGTAAAGAGTCGACTCACTGGACAAGACCCTGATGCTGGGAAAGACAGAAGGCAGGAGGAGAAGGGGACAACAGAGGATGAGATGGTTGGATGGCATCACTGACTCAGTGGACATGAGTTTGAGTAAACTTTGGGAGTTGGTGATGGACAGGGAAGCCTGGTATGCTGCAGTCCATGGGGTCACAAAGAGTCAGACACAACTGAGCGACTGAACAACAACAACAACTGAATATAAATCCACAAATAAAATAGAAACAACCAAGGGTTTGATAAAGCAACTAGTGAAATCATTAAAAGAAGGTATTTACATTGGATCACTTTAAATTGTAAACTTAATTACAGGAAGGTCTAAGGAGGCTAAAGTACAATCGACTTAACAAAATGTATATAAACTTATTTTCTAGCATTATCAGGAAAGTGGTCTGCAGTTCAGTACTTGGGCACACTTTACCCACCTCAGGATAAGAGGGATGCTTGGTGGTGATGGCAACAGTGTGGACTGAGGAGCAATGCTGTAGTTCTGACCATGAATGACCATCATCACAGAACTCCACAATTAGCATTCCTAACATTTGTTTGGCAAAACAACTGCCCTTGCTTCACACTGCAAAAGCTTGACCAGGTCCAGCCACCAAACCACAACAAGAGCTATCCTGCGAGACAGGCGACTTCTAACAAGGTGTGTGACCACACATGTATTGGGGAAGTTCCCTTACCTAAACAATCTCCCGTCTATATGCCATATTGCTTGAATCACTATTCTGATTCATTTCTCTGTTGTTTAGAAAATGTCTTCTTAAGTGCTATTTTAAAGGAAAAATGATCCCTTGGAAAGGTAGCATATTAGGCTATTAATGATTATTGATACTTGGGCTTAACGGAGCTAATGAAATGGCTGCCTGAGAGCTGGCTGCTGAGCTACTGGGGGCTTTATATGAAGAGAAGAAAAAAACTGGTGAAATATTTTGTGAGTGGTATAGCCTGTTGGATAGATAGAATACAGTCTTGAATCCCCTCACTGAGGACTGTCATGGGCTGTATATTATATTACATGTCTAGTATATTTTGTTTTCATTCTCCTCTTGGAACCACTTACTCCAATCCCTTTTCAGGATGCAAATTATTTTTATAGAAGACAGGCTTATCTGAATTTAATACTCTTGGCATAATTTCCCTGTAAATCCTGACTGATCTATATGCAAATCATGATATATATTTATATATGTATATATTTATACATATGCAAATTCTGACATATGTATTTATTTTTCCAAAGGTAAAGGGGAATATAAAACATTAAATTTGTTCAGGACTATTGCCTGACTGTTGGCTTCCCTGACAGCTCAGACGGTAAAGCGTTTGCCCGCAGTGCGGGAGACCCGGGTTTGATCCCTGGGTTGGGAAGATCCCCTGAAGAAGGAAATGGCAACCCACTCCAGTACTCTGGCCTGGAAAATTCCATGGACTGAAGAGCCTGGTAGGCTACAGTCCATGGGGTCGCAAAGAGTAGGACACGACTGGGTGACTTCACTATTGTCTGATATGATTTTAATCATTTTCTTGTTCCCTTTAAGTCTGGTCTAAATAATAAATTCTTCAGAATTCTAAGCACGTTAGTGTAAAGACGCTTCACCTTAATTTCAGCAATGAGAGTCATAAAACATTCACTCTACTAAGGGCAGCCTTATATGTTGATTAGATATTAGCTATGATACACTCAGTCTTAGCACTGAGTTCATCAGTGGTTTGTAAACATGAAACCTGGATATTGTTAAACTTTTAATCAGTAATTTAAAGCCTCTTTTTTGTGGTTAGTTAAAAATGAAAGAAAGAACAGTTACCTGTATTTTTTGTTAAGACTAAATATTTACAAAGAGGCTAGGACTCTGCAAGGGAGAGAGCATGCCACAGTAGAGTGGAGTCTGTATTACCTGCTGAATTAGCTCCAGGCCAGTCTTTCCCATCTGCCAGTGTTTAAACTTCTCCAGGGCTTCATCCACAGAGAGTTTCCCAGTCTTGACTTTCTCCTGCAGCAGGATGAGTTCCTCCTGCCCCGCAGCGAGGCAGTCCCTTACGGTGGAGAAGGTCTGACTCTCCATCCGACCTCTGTCTACAATATGAGAGAAGGGTGTTTTCATGAGAAGTGTTTTAATGACAACTAGGAAAAAAAAAAAACCACTTAAAAAAAAAAAAGCAGTTTGAGTTTCTCATTCCAGCTAGTCTTTAGGCAGTTACAGAACAAATCAGTACAAATTTTTTAATGCATTTCTAAAAATTGTCATGCCTCAGACCTGGAGTTACGGGTGAAAAGAACGTGTCTCATCACTGAAAACATAAAGGGATGAGGAGAGAAAGAGCAACAACCAAAGTTTTTTACTGCACTAGTTGTGGGCAGTGCCAACTTCATGTTCCTTTGGGAGAATTACTTTTAATTCTGCTTCCTTGGTAGCTTAGCTGGTAAAGAATCTGCCCTCAATGCAGGAGATCCCGGTTTGATTCTTGGATCAGGAAGATCCCCTGGAGAAGGGAATGGCAACCCACTCCAGCATTCTTGCCTGGAGAATTCCATGAACAGAGGGGCCTGGTGGGGTACAGTCCATGGGGTCGCAAAGAGTTGGACATGACTGGGTGACTAAGCGCAGCACAGCACACAACACACATATGCACAAAATACTTAGCATCGGGCCTGCCACATAGAAAGCTAAATAAAAGGTAATATTATTATTGCTAATAAATATTTATGGAATAAGCATAATCTCTCCAGCTTTGAGAAAAGAGATCTCAACCAACATCCAAATTTCACAAGAGGTTTAGGATCATTTGAAAATTTATTCCTGAAAGATTTAAAATAAATAATTTCTTGTTGTTTTGTAGTAGTGAACTGCTTCCTTTTCAAAAGAGTTTATTTTGAAGCATGCCATGTATTAGTTAAAAGAAATCAAACCTGAATATTCATTGGAAGGACTGGTGCTGAAGCTGAAGTTCTAATACTTTGGCCACCTGATGCGAAGAGCTGACTCATTGGAAAAGCTCCTGATGCTGCGAAAGACTGAGGGCAGGAGAAGGGGGTGGCAGAGGATGAGATGGTCGGCTGGCATCACTGACTCAATGGACATGAGTGTGAGCAAACTCCAGGAAATACTGGGGGACAGGGGAGCTGTCCAACAGGTTGTAAACAGTCAGACAAGACTAAGCGACAACAAAAACAAACGTGTTAGTTGTCTGGCGCAGTGAGAACAGTAGGTGGTCTGACGTTGCACTTTTGGCTGCAAATACCACCGAGAACACTGTCCTGAGACATACTGAGAGCAAACTGCAGACCACAGGTGAAATCAGCATTCGATTTATCCCACACAGCGCTTCAAGCCATACATGAAGCGCATGATGGCAGGGACCCTCCTCTCTTGATCTCTGTTACTCCCTCTGTCTTTGGATGACATCACCCTTGTGTTCCCTGCCTGCCTGCAGAACTCATTTGAGTTTTGTACTTTCTCATTTACATATTTCTATTATGTCCATACTTACTGCATAAGACATGGCAGCACACATCTTATGCACTATCAAATCCAAATATGCCCAGAGTCTAGGAGAGAAGAGGTAGTCCCACCAAGCTGCAGGCAGGGTGGTGGTAGTAAGTTGGGTATGTCCCTGGAGAAACTGCTCATTACTGGGAACTCGTATTCAAGAAAGAAGTAGATCACTATACTATAAATAAAATAAATTTAAAAAATATGAACTATTGATAGTAAAATAGATATTATCTGAGGGTATCACTCTAAGGAAGTAATGGTAATTCTGCTGAAACTGATTAGGGCTGGTGAGAATAACTTCTTGCTGCTGATTAAGGGCTGGAACCTATAACTTGGTGCTCCCTCTGTGTACACAGCTCTATCCTGCGAATGTACCTTGGTCTTACATAAAAGAGAGTGGCAAATTAAAAAAAAAAAATAAAGAAGTAGATCATTTAGATTGTATCTAGACCAGACTGACGAAGATTTGGGAAACAGGGAGGGTATCATTTCAAATTCTATAGTATTTAAGATTCATTGATAGGATGGGTTAGTCTAGAAATGAGAAGTTCAAGTGCTTGACAGCAGTTTTAAGTATCTGAAGGGGACTTGAGCCGTGAGGCAGTCTTGGAATGGCCTCTCATGTCTTTCAGTTTTGAGATTCTAGCAGTGAATCTCGGAAAGGGTTCACAGAGAGGGTTCCTTTCTGTAAAGATTCACAAGCACATAAAACTGCTCCATGGCGAATCATTCTGATTCCCATGGGAGCTTTCCTGGCTTATCTTTCATCTTCAGAAGTTCTATTTCCCCAGGACTAACGAGATGCCAACAGATTCTATACTGTAAAGTTTTTCCTTCAGGGATGGTGGAGCACATGATCTCAGGGGAACTGGAGAAACAAAAGTCAGCCAACAGCCAAAAGCACACATAAGAACTGAGCTCTTGCTTCTTATACCACTTGCTTTTTATAGGCCTCCACGCTCCAATTCAATTCGTGAGATGCCCTCTGCAGTAGAATTCTATGTGCCATTCTTGCCAGAGTGCGGAGGTTTAGCGTCATCATTTAACAGTTATGCCATTTAACTAGCACCTCACTTCTGTCATCCCTTTGCCAAAGTGTGAATCCATTTTTATCTCAAAAACCCATGCAGCTGGATTTTCTGCTTTTATAGAAGTTATCGCAAGCCAAGTCTTCCCAGAAAACGGCCCCAGCTTCAGTATCGCTATACGTGCAGGTTTAACTGAATTCAAAAATATTGAATTCTTTTATTAACATTCATTTCAATTATCCTTTCATATTTCAAATGTTAGCTACTAAAATATAATCAAGATGACTTTTTTTGAGGAGGCAGGGTTCAGTTTTGCGGTTGGGCAGACAGAACAAAAGAACACAATTTAGGAGCGAAAAAATTCTAGACCGATTGAGCCCTGAAAGTGAGTTGTACAACTAGACTAATTTCACATACATCTGCTTTTTCCTCTTTCTTTTTCACACAAAAATGTTAAAAACAATTGTCATGATAAATTACTATTAGGTATGACAAAGTTGCAAAGAAAAATGATTAGGCATTTTACCACCTTTCTTCCTAAGGGCAAACTAATTAAACCAAAATATGTAACCTATAATTTTTGATAGATTGCTTTATTGCATTTAGTTTATTATTTTATGAGGGATGAAAAGGTTTTTCCTTCCTCCTCAAATTTATATTTATTATTAATTTTCATAAGAGTTAGCATGAAATAACATAATAGTGTGAGTGTAACATAATTTTCATTGAAAAGCATTTGTCAGACTATTTGTACATATAGACAGACTCTTGTTCTCTTATTTTGCAAGACAAACTACAGTTTCTAAAGTTTTGTTCCTTTCAGATCAATTTTTCTTTACAAGATTTTCCAACTGATCAAGTTTTGGTCAAATAAACATCAAGCAATTCATCTGGTGGACATATGAACCTAGAGATTAGGTAAGAAAGCAAATTAAGCTTTTCATAAAAATTCTATTACCAAGGGACTGGCTAGAAGAACATGTTTTCCTGAAAAATTGAAGGCAAACAACTTGACTGGTCAATGACAAAGAATTTAAAATGTGAAGTATTTACTTAATAAGTAAATTAGGTAGTCATTAAAATAATATCAATACTTTAAAAGACCACGTGCAACAGTGTGCTTATTATATAAGGACAAGTACAAAAAGCAGGATGCAAAACTGTATATATGGTAAAGTGTTAACCATATCAATGTTGTACATATGTCAGTAAAAAAAAGAACAAAAACTTTCAGTAATTTTATAATCTAAACCATTCTTTCACAGTTAGGTGATTCTTAAGCCAATGTAACACTAAATACTATAGCTTTGCATTGCATAAGTAGTAGACCTTAACACACATGGGAAATGGTGATGCCTAAATCTCTTTTTTTCCTAAATGGTTACCTCATTTCAGCTCTTATTTATTTATCAGCTTTATAAATTTAAACACATTATTCCAAACTGTTCTGTCTCTCTGCAAAGGAAAAAAAGTCCTTTCAATATGACTGGGATTTCCTTAAATTTATAAATTATTTTAGGAACAATTTAGCCTATTTAATCTACTCATGTGAGAAAATGGTATACTGGCCCTATTTAGCAGGAACTTTTTGTTTTCAGTGTATAGTGAATATTTTTTTTCTTTTATGATGTCTGCAAAGTAATATCGTTGCTATCGTTCAGTTGCTAAGTTGTGCCTAACTCTTTGTGACCCCATGGACTGCAGCAGGCCAGGCTCCCCGTCCTTCACTCAGAGTTTGCTCAAAGTCATGTCCATTGAGTCAGTAATGATGGGATGATTCATTAAATATGAAAATTCTGTTTTACTTGAGTTTGGAATAACTCAGTGACAAAACTTGTCCTGGGTAATCTTTTGAGTTAAAATTTATACAAACATTCCTTAAAAAATTCCATTCATCACTTGACATAATTTTTTTTATTGAGTTGAATTTGTTCTATTAATATACTCTATTATTTAGAGTAATTTTAGGTTCACAGTCAAATTGAGTAGAAGGAACAGAGATTGACACATACCTCCAGTCCCACATATGGGTAGCCTCTGCCACTATCAATATCACCCACCAGAGTGGTTTATTTGCTGCCACTGATAAACCCATACTGAGACATTATTATCACCTGACATAATTCTGTTAATTAGTATTTCTCTTTGAAAAGTCATATATATTTAGACACAAGAAAATAAAATAAGCATTTCCTCTGATTCTATATACTGACATTTTCTCATGACTGATTTTCTTATTGGTGTTTTCTCTTGGCTAGATTTGCCAGAAGATTTGCTAATTTACTCCTTTTAAAAATAAACTTTTAGATTTAGTCAACATTTCATATCTGTGAATTCTTTAAGCTCTATTAACTTTCAACTTTTACTAGATTTACTGCATTGGTTTTATTCCACAGTTTTTCTTTTTCTTACTGTCTAGTTCCTTTGCTTTCCTTTAATTGTTACTAACTAAAGATTTAGGGCTATGACGTTGCCTCTTAAAATATTGAGATCAGAAAGTGGGTTGAATAGGTCACATTTTTAATGAATTTTACTTTATTTAAAACATTTAA